GTTTGATTGACCAATCAAAAGAAAGAATTTTACAAATTGACCAATCAAGAAACGCTTCAAAGCATTCGTAGTGGCAACTCGACCGCAGCCTCAGGGTGCGATTACATGGAGCGCGGTACGCGGTAAGCGGTATGCGGTTCTCTAGCTGCCTAGTTAGTTAACCGCGTACCGCATACCGCCTATTTCTTTTTCCTGATATTACATGGAGCGCGGTTTGCGGCACGGGCTAGTGACAAACTTATATTAGTATGAATTTTTTTAAATATATTAACTTATTTTTATGTACACTTTATCGATACTCTTATTTTTTTAACTGATTTACTTAATAATTGCGTTTAAATCAATTAATTCCATTAAAAAGTGCGTAGCAACGTATAGTAATGTGAGTTTGTCACTAGCCCGTGCCGCAAACTGCGCGCTCCATGCATATAGAGTCCTAGATATCAGAGAAGCGCAACCGATGTTCCGCGTCATGATTAGTTGACTGTCAGCCAATCATGATATTCATTCAGCGGTATTAAAAATGGCTGACTAATAGACGATTGGTGGATTTCATATTTAGTCTGCAAACGACGCCATTTTTATTACTTTTCTTAGTAATTTTGCGATACTGACTTAAGTCGGTTGCGCTTCTCTGATATCTAGGACTCTAATTGGAGCATGTTAGAGCATGTTAGAGCGTGCGACGCGAACAAACCTTAGGACTCTACCTACACTTTCGTATACGTTTCTTTTCAAGAATAGACTCCCTGATTGGTTGCAAAAGATACGGAGCGTTCATACGTAATAGTACGGGAGGCCAACCGGGGATTTTGGGATTTACTCGAGCGCGTCAGAATAACATAAGGGGGAAAGCTTGCACCCTAATAAGTACCCCCACCAAATATTAAACCTCTATATAGAGCCGGGGGTCCAGGGGATTAGTAAATTAAAAAAATCGATCGTTCGAAAACTCGAGCGCGTCAGATTAAGGTATGGTGTGTTAATTACATGTAGAAAAGCGTACATTTCAAAAATCTGACGCGCTCGAGATGCGCTCTGGAAATTTTTTTTTTCCCCCTTTTTGACCCCTTCCTACAGCTAACCCCACCACGTAAACCGTCAGATTAATATTTATCCGTTATCAGAAACACATGGGTCGCTTACACTATTAATATCTGACACGCTTCGAGTATTGCATTGACGCTGTTTTCTTTGAAAGCCTGTACACGCTCCCCCACCACTGAAACGGCATACATCATATAACCTTTTTTTCTTTTTAGCATCTAATCTTCACAATCCAATAGGTCTCCACGACGCTCGAGTAAAGCGGGGAGCACAGACTTTTGCATAACGCATAAACCATATACATAAAGAATTTGATTGGTCCATTGACTCATGCATAAGAAAATGGGCCAATGAAATTCCTTATGCACATGCTTTATGCGTTATGCAAAAGTCTGTGCTCCCCGCTTAAATCCACATTAAAGCGGGGAGCACAGACTTTTGCATAACGCATAAAGCATGTGCATAAGGAATTTCATTGGTCCATTTTCTTATGCATGAGTCAGTGGACCAATCAAATTCTTTATGTATATGGTTTATGCGTTATGCAAAAGTCTGTGCTCTCCGCTTTAGCCTCTCGGCCTCCCGTACTATGAGAAGTTAAAGACAACATTGAAGGACAGCTCTATCCCAGACCATGGTGTAAGTAGAAAGGTGAACCATTCCGATGGATGCGCAGTAAATTAGAAGTAGTGGGGGCAGTCGCAACCAATCACACTTTGAGCTTTTATGCGAAATCTTCAATATGGCGCAGAATAAAAATCTTACTAAAGCGGGGAACACAGACTTTTGCATAACGCATAAACCATATACATAAAGAATTTGATTGGTCCATTGACTCATGCATAAGAAAATGGATCAATCAAATTCTTTATGTATATGGTTTATGCGTTATGCAAAAGTCTGTGCTCCCCGCTTAAAGATAGAGATTGAAGATTGAACGATTGAATTTTTGATTGAATTTTTTTTATGTTTGTCCTTGTTCTTTTTCAATTTAACGCATAAAACATAGTGCATAAGAAAATCAATCAATCTGAATCCCTCTTTTCCTTTCACTTCACGTGATCACGTCTAGAGTCCCTATACTAAGGGTGCGATTACATGGAGCGCGGTACGCGGTTCTCGGTTCTCTAGCTGCCTAGTTAGTTAACCGCGTACCGCGTACCGCCTATTTCTTTTCCCTGATATTAGGGCGGGTTCACACCTTGACGGAAAAGCGGAAAGTGGAAAAGCAGTTAACCGATCAGAACTCGTCTTGGTAGTAAAAAGTACAAAACTAACAGAAAGTCGATTACTCGATTGGCTACTGCTTTTCCGCATTCTGCTTTTCCGTCAAGGTGTGAACCCGCCCTTACATGGAGCACGGTTTGCGGCACGGGCTAGTGACAAACTCACATTACTATACGTTGCTATGCACTTTTTAATGGAATTAATTAATTTAAACGCAATTATTAAGTAAATCTGTTTAAAAAATAAGAGTATCGATAAAGTGTATATAAAGATAAGTACCGCGTACCGCGCTCCATGTAATCGCACCCTAAGAGTCTGGCCAAGGTCCTAGTTAGACAAAACATGGCGTCGTCGTATATAACCAAAAACGTGATGTGATCGATGTGGTACTGCACTATTTGATAAAATAATGAAACAGTATATTATATTTCGCATAAAAATTGATTGCAACAAAGGACGATTATAAAATAAGAATTATAGTAGTAAAAAAACTATGGCTAGGCATGCTGCTATTAAATGATATAATTTACTTATAAATACATTAAAATGATATTATACATTTACTTATGAATACTATTAAAATTTATTTGTATTTGTATTTTTACATTAAATAAAATGTTAAAATCAACTTTATTATCTCATTGTTCTGTTCCTTCTTCTTCTTCTTCTTCTTAATATATTGGCCAAGCAGCCTCCGGCTGTAACTAGGCCATTGAGATCCGCGGTGTTGGTATTAAATGTGCTAGGGTTGTCATCTTGGTAGTCCAATCGCAGCAGTAAAGTACTCCCCAGGCGCCTGCTGCCACCTTGCGGTTAGCAGCGCGTCAAAGGAGTGAAGGGAGAGGCAATGGGAATATTTAAAAGAACAGCTCATTGGCTTTCATGAAGGCCAAGAGCAAACGACAAAGTTCGGGAGAGGGGGAATGTAGGGCAGGAAGAAGGGAAGGGGGGGAATCAGGGAATTGTTCTGTTCCGACTAATCAGGGCCCTCAAACTCCCATGTAATTTCTTGCACCACCGTTGACTGTAGTGCCATCTGATATGAGTCCGCCAAAAGAGAGGAACTATAATGAATATGATGTTACCTGTTATCATCTGTTACTGCTTGGGTAATTATTATGGAACTATTTGGAATTGATTCCGATCGGAATTATTCAATTATTCTCTAGATTTCTATTATATTTTCTAGGAAAGACGGATTTTAATTATTCCGATAAGTTCCATAATAGGTATCCTGTTACTATTACATGTCAATGTGTGCACATGTCAGCACGTACTTGTGATTTGATGTTATTATTGCCAATTATTGCGTGAGAAATAAGAAATTATAATAAATAAATAAATTAGAAGGTAAAAAGGACTCTTTATATAAAAATAATTAAGCAAAGATAAAGGACATTTAGAGTAAAAAAATTTATTTGACTCTAAATGGAACTTATCGGAATAAAATCCGTTTTTCCTAGAAAATATAATAGAAATCTAGAGAATAATTGAATAATTCCATAATTGTATTTCCTAGGAAAAACGGATTTTATTCCGATAAGTTCCATTTAGAGTCAAAATAAATTTTTTTACTCTAAATGTCCTTCATCTTTGCTTAATTATTTTTATATAAAGAGTCCTTTTTACCTTCTAATTTATTTATTTATTATAATTTCTTATTTCTCACGCAATAATTGGCAATAATAACATCAAATCACAAGTACGTGCTGACATGTGCACACATTGACATGTAATAGTAACAGGATACCTATTATGGAACTTATCGGAATAATTAAAATCCGTCTTTCCTAGAAAATATAATAGAAATCTAGAGAATAATTGAATAATTCCGATCGGAATCAATTCCAAATGTTCCATAATAATTACCCAAGTAGTAACAGATGATAACAGGTAACATCATATTCATTATAGTTCCTCTCTTTTGGCGGACTCATATCAGATGGTACTACAGTCAACGGTGGTGCAAGAAATTACATGGGAGTTTGAGGGCCCTGCTACTAATTGAATAAAACTGGTGCTGTTTAATAATACTGCTGCTATTAAATGATATAATTATTTATTTATGAATACATTAATTGAAATTACATTTGTATTTTCACATTTAAAAAATTGTTAAAAACAGCTTTATTATATTATTGTTCTATTCTTGTTCTTTCTATGATTCTTACTAGTTGAATAATATCGCGTCCAAAATATTAATTTGAGACACTTCATTGGCTCTGCCATATTTTGTCGAAACCAATAGGCTGGATGACAACCTTGGCCAGACTCAGGCTGGAGTCACATTGAGCGGTAATTACAGCGGAACGGAACAGCGAGACCAATCACAATCGCAGAAAGTAAAGCAGCGGAATGATTGTAGAGTTCTGATTGGTTTCACTATTCCGTTCCGCTGTAATTACCGCTCAATGTGACTCCAGCCTCATAAGTATAGGGACTCTAATCACGTCTAGAGAGGAAATTGAAAAAGAACAGACTTGAGCGTCGCAGCTAACGCCTGCAACGCCACATGTCTCCTATTTTTCTTATGGAAGTTTGGACACCATTATAGACCTTGCTGTTCTCTTAATTCGTGGTATATGTCCGGTAAGTTTTGATAGTATCGAATTTTCTTATTGATAATAAATATTTTGTGTATGTAATTAATCTTTCGCAAAAATAACAAAAATCCTTTGTGTAATGTTATATGAAATTAGTTTGCAATTATTCGTTTCGTTATATCTTACTTAATTTTTAGTGATTCCAACGGATTATCATGATCCATTTCACGTGGCATTTAGCGTTTATAGCTAATAAAAGTATTGTTCGTTTTGTCTCTCGGGAGCTGCTCGGAGTCGCTCTGAATAAACCCAGCGTACTCGAATGTGATCCATTTAATACTGCAAATGCTTCGTTGAGCAATCAGAAGAAAAAATTTTACGAATTGATCAATCAAAGTATGTTTTGAGGTTTCTACAACATTAAATAGACCGCATCCAAGTATGCTAGGTTCGTTCGGAGCGACTCTGAGCAGCTCTCGAGAGACAAAACGAACGATACTAAACATGCATGATACAAATAATTGTGTACATAATCGTTACGTTGAACAAAATTAGTTTGTTTCTGCACTAGCCTGAATTAATACTCTCTTTCTCGCTTTCGACAAATATCAAACATACCTATCTCACTTTAAGTTCTAAAAGTGTACACTAGTTCAGCCACAGAAAACAGGTCTTATATTTAGAGTTTTACGTACAGCAGTTTCTCAACATTTTTTACTATTAATTTTATGTGCACACCTGGGTTTCTTCTACCATGGTTTGGTGTATAATTACTATTCTCAGTATTTTTTGTCATCTTTTTATTATATTTGTTAAAGATTATTTTATATACTTGATGCTTCTATTACATTGTTATATTTTTGTTAGAAAATGACGAGCAGGACTAAAGCACCTAAGATGAAAGAAGGTGGTCCAGAGGAGTTGCCACTGAGAAAGAGACCCTTCAAAAGACATGGACGTCTGTATGCAAAGGCAGTTTTCACTGGTTATAAACGTGGATTGCGTAATCAACATGAGCACACTGCTTTACTCAAAATTGAAGGCGCTAGTACGAAGAAAGACTCTAATTTTTATATAGGAAAACAATGCGTCTTTGTATATAAAGTAAGGTCTATCTATGATATAGATAAAAAAGATAAACATTAAATTAATTTTGACTTTATTTATAGATGTAATAAGCATTTTTCTTCTTGAACTCTATATTGTAACTTTTTTTTCTGATAAGTATATTCAACATTGTCTTCGACTGTATAATCACTAAAGGTAAACTTTTATCAATTCTGATTAACTTAATCGGTTGACTAATCCATGGAATTAGTCAATTGCATCTACTGTCAAACCAAATGATAAATGTGATTAATTAATTCCAATAGACTAATCGGCCAATTAAGTTAATCAGAGTTGATAAAAGTTGCCCTAAGCTTTAAGCAAGTTGATCAAATCACTAAAGTTTAAAGTAAATGTCAGTTAATGTTAGCTCAGGCTAATTTACTTTAAACTTTAGTTTTTAAATGTCAGTCTGAGCTAACATTAACTGACATTTCCTTTAAGCTCTGAAGCTTAAAAGAAAAACTTGCTTATTATGCATATTGTTTAAACTAAATCAATCTAATTTTCTTGTGGACTCTCCAAATTCATACCATGAATTTAGTAATAAAGAACGAGTGAGAGTAAAGAAGAGAGAGAGCAAAAATTGTTATGCAAACAATAACAATGCTTTACTCTCACTCGTTCTTTATTACTAAATTCATGGTATGAATTTGGAGAGTCCACAAGAAAATTACTAATTTACTTTGCATAAGTAATAAGAAATGAATTTCCTTAAGGCTCCTGAATACCGGCGACGGCCATGTTGGAATTGTGACGTCATAGGCGAGAAAAACACATTAATTTTTCTTGCGTCCCATTTTTTAATAAAGACAATTTGGATAAATTTAAAAGGCAAGATCGCACAAAAACACTTGTGAAAATTGCCGGAAACTGTCCTTTCCTCTTCTAATAGTCAGTAAATGGTCGTAAAAGACATGTAAAGTGAGCCTATTTTCGGGCAGAATCACACAGTTTAACAGCTGATAAAACGAGTGAAATATACGCTTTTACGTATAAAATTTCACGATAACTGCAGTTTCCGGCAATTTTTAGGACTTTTACGAGTACGAGGGAAGTCACATTTTCACAAATAAGCAAATATTGACGAAATGGCACGCAAGAAAAATTTTGTCGTCAAAACATCACTTTTTCACGCCTATTAGTTCAGACTTTTACCATGGCGAGGCGCTATACACACACACACAAGCATGAACCCATGTCTGTGCACTGCCCTTCTACCCGAAAATGAGCACACGGACATGAGCTTGCAATTGTGTGTATAACCAGTAACGTACTACCAGTTTTGCTAGCCACCGACTAATTCGGTGTCGCTACCCATCAACACGGAGTTCTTGGCTGAGTATTTAGGAGCCTTAATTGTAATACAAATAATCACTCTTAATTACAGTACAAACAATAAAATTTAAACACAATCTTAATTGGGAGAATGTAGTAGTACTCGATGTCGAACGATTCTTAAATAAAAGATTAGTCTCTGAATTCACATTCATATGCAAGAAAGCACACATGTTTTGTACAATAACATTAAATTGTCAGTTAAAGATGGAACTCATGTGTATAGTAATCAATGTAACTTGCAGTGTAACCTACACATCATTTTTTTATCAAATTAATTGATTTAATTTTTAAAAACAATTTCTTTGTATTGTTACAAAGTCAATTATTTGCTGTTATTCTTTAAAGACTTAAATTACACAACATCGTTTTATTTTAAATTTGACGCAGATTTCAACATCAAATCTGTAAATCTGATGTGACTCTTACAATAAATACAAAGAAAGAATATTAAATTTTATATTGACTGAGGAAGATTCCAAAGTGAGTCGAAACGTTCTGAAATTGTTATATAGATGGAATAAATTAGTAATTTGAGGAAATTAACTTTTTTTATTACTTTGCTTAACAACACTGTACTCTCACTCGCACTTTATCACTAGATTCCTGGTTTCTACTGTTTAAAAGTCTTCAGTGACAAATAAAATATTTTTATAGAATCGTATTGAATACTAAATACCGTAAATGTAAGAACATAACTAATATGAATACGAAACCTATAACAGTCTAACTTGGATTTTTAATTGCTTATATATAAACTACCGCGGTACTATCACGAATTAAAACAAATTAATAATTAATTAACTAATATATGTAATTCCCCCAGGGGACACTTGCACCTAAAGCGAGTGATCCGGGTTCGACTCCCGGCCGAGATAATATTTTTCCCAATAAGAATTGTTATTTTTAGATTTTAACGTCGTTAATTATTGATATAAGATGCCAAAAGAATAATTATTAAATTGTTAATCAATTTAATTCGTGATAGTACTGCTGTAGTTTATTAGAGTTGCATTTCAAGACCGATAATTATTCGGCGCTGTTTAGAAAAGACTACATATATCAGTATATAAATTCACGCGAAATTATATATAAGCAATTAAGATCCAGCTAAACTGTATAGGCTTCGTATTAGTTATGTTGTTACATTGATTGTCCTTTAAAATTTAATATTACATATTGCCAAAATTTCTTTGCTTCTTTTTAATGTTTTCTTTTTATAAAATTTATGATTGAATATTGATTTAACACTATTTTAAGAATATAATACATATTGCTAAAAATATACATATTGTTAAGAATTTATTCTTAAGCAGTTATTTAACAAAATCATTGATTATCAATAAGATAACTTACATATGAAATTGTTTCAGGCTAAGAACAAAACTCCAGTACCTGGAAAAACTACGAAAAAAACAAATATGAGAGCCATTTGGGGCAAAGTGACTCGGCCTCACGGTGCAAGTGGATCAGTGCGTGCTAAGTTTAAGAAGAACCTGCCAGCCAAGGCTATGGGTCGTCGTATCAGGATTGTAAGCTAATACAAATTTGATGTAGTAACGTTTTTTTTATAGATATAGTAGAATTTACACTGAATTAAAAGTTTCCTGCAAACTTTAACATATTATTTTCTATTTTAAATAAATTATTATTCAGGGTTGGTAAGTAACGCGTTATTTGTAACGTCATTACCGTTACAAGTTACTTTTTTCGGTAACGAATGGGTAACGGCGTTATATTTTCTTATGAGTAACGTTTTTGGTATTAACGTTTTTGGTAACACACACACAGTTACATTTTTGAGGTAATGGTAACGATTTCACTAGTTATACTTTTATTGTTACTTTATGTAAGTTATAGATTCTTTGCTTTATTGTAGCTTTCTGCTGCTTGCATGTGTTTGTAGTTTGCGATACGAGTACATATTTCGTATCATGTAATGACAGTTGATATGATTTTGCAAGACGCAATATTCTGCATTATTTAATTTATGAGTAATGATTTTGTAAATAATTTATTTGAGAATTTATATATGTATATACAATACAAATATAAGAAGGGCAAAGAGCCAAGTAAATTTATCAACAAAATACTTCAATTATTTAAAATTTAAAAAACGTTTTAATAAGATCTTTAAAAATTATAAATTAACAGACGTTTCGACCCCGATCGGGTCATTTTCAATGATACAAATTATTAGAATTAAAATGAATAGTGAAGAAGAAAACGCATTCTTCTTCTGATATAAATTCTTCTTCTGGTAATCGTAAAATATCTTACATAGTTTTAATTATATTTTATATTAATTGACTAAATAATTTTAATCATGGACTTGTTGCTTCATTTGTATTTTTGACAAGGTAATAGAACTTTTGTATTAATTTATTATTTTTTATTGTTTGTAATTTTATTAATTCGTATATAATTTTCATTAGGATCAATTTATTTATACTTATTATTTCAACATATGACTATTGCTATACCGAATACTTTATATCAGAAGAAGAATGCGTTCACTATATTCATTTTAATTCTAATAGTTTGTAACATTGAAAATGACCCGATCGGAGTCGAAACGTCTGTTAATTTGTAATTTTTAAAGACATTATTAAAACGTTTTTTAAATTTTAAATAATTGAAGTATTTTGTTGATAAATTTACTTGGCTCTTTGCCCTTCTTGTATTTGTATTGTTTTATACATATTGAGCCTTTTCATTATTTATATATATATATATACATACATTTCAGTTTTTGACCTTTATTCTTCTATTAGAATCTCTGTTATATTTTTTTATATTTACTGCAAAAATCTGCATATAATATTGTATAAATATAAAAAAAGTAACGAAAAAAATAACGACTCGTTATATTTTTTAGTAGAGGAACGCTAACGAGTTACTTTTGCAAATCAGTAACGAGTAACGGTAACGAATTACTTTTCAGAAAAAAGAACGGTAACGGTAATTAGTTATTTATATGAGGTAACGTTGCCAATCCTGATTATTACAAATATTGTAATTATATACACACATATAGGATGTTCCACACAACCATCTTTAAAAAATTTTTCCAAGTTTTTTTTTAAGAACATTCTTTGATGTATTCTAACAAGACGAAAATCTTAACATTAAAATCATCTATAATTGGTTTTTATTTTATAATTAAAAAATAGATGAAATAGTACAGAACTTTTAATATTCAAAATATATAGGGCATATAAGAGTCAAAAAAGAAGTTTTAAGCTAATTCGGCTAATTGGTGTTCTCACTATCAACGCAGAATTCTTGGCTCAGTACTCCCTCAGAAGCCTTAAATATTTTTAATTTAATATTTAATTTAAAAAAAATTTTAATTAAAAAATTTTATTAATTTTTAATTTAAAAGAATTAAATATATTGATAAAGCAAGGATGAAACATGTCTAATATTTATTTAATCCTAATGTATGCACATTTTTATAAATCAATAAAAATTAAAAAGGTGAAAATATAAAAATTAATATAAATTCTATCAAAACATATGTGTATGTCATTAAAATTTACTTTCAATTAAAATATGTATAAGTTCATAAGTGATAAATTCTTTAAATACATTTTAGAGAGAGGGAGAGAGAGAGGGAGGGAGGGGAGAGTTTTTATGTATAATACATTTATTTATATATATAATATAATTATACATAAATAATATAATTTTTTTGTAAGCGCGAATGAATCTTTAGAAATTATTTTTAGAAATAATATTAATACATTAAATAATATCTTCTAAATCAATATTTTATTGTACATTATTTACAACTTTTTTGAGGATGTGTTTTAAGTAGGACTGTAATCGGCAGTTTGTAAAACTGTATAATGTAATTAAAAATGTACATAAAAGTATTCTTATTAGGGAACATCAACCATTTAGGGCGCTTTTTAATTTTAATTTAATTTATTTTGTATATATTTTCTATACATAATGTCCAAAAATAATATAAAAGGTTTTAAATTATACTTTAGAAATAGTATAAAGTACAATACTTAAATGAGCCCCTTAGTTGCCAAATGGCATAAGGCTTATACTTATAAAGCAGACTTATGCTATTTGTCAACTAAGGGGCTCAAATAATTTTGTCATCACTTATATACTCATACATTTTTAATTGTAAATAAGAATTATGTATATATTGATCTTGGATCTACAATACGTTTTCAAACCTTAAATCATAAAGAATGTACAAATCACAGTTCTGGAGATACAGTAGTGTCTCGGTAATTACTCTCTTCGCATTCGACTGTAATTGGTTAATTTCTTACGACTTAAGGCTTAAAATATCTATTGTAAAACCTATTCCGGGCTTACTCTGTTTGCGAACTTTAATGGAATATATATACATACGCGTGTTTTAATATAATTTATCAATCAATTTTTATATTTTTAACTTTCTTCAACGTTTTACTACAATAATTATTAAGAAGTATGTATGTATATCGATATACACGCATTAGGGTTAAACCAGCGTGCATCAAGGTTAAATAGATATGCAACATGTTCCAACCTTGCTTTATCAACGTACTTAATTCTTTTTTTTGTCAAAAAAATTTATTTACTGATATTGTAAAGACGTTTACAAAGCGAGCATGATTATGAATTTATTTTAACACATGTCGTAACATTTGTTATTAAATTAATATTTTGTAATATGTTCCGATATTATGCATACATAATGTACAAATAAATTTCGTATAAGAGCAAGAAGAATTTCTTAATAAAAATATTGCACATTTGTATCATAATAATCTTGAAGTTGCTGATAGGGGTTTTATAAAGCTTATCATATCACTATAAGTGAGCGAAATATCAGTTCCGTGATTTGAGAACTTCAATTACTACTAATTAAAAACTCATTACAATTTCGATTTTTACAATTAGGATTTTTATTTTACAATTAGAATATCTACTTTAAAGTAGGGCTCAGCACGCGATTCAACTTTCGGCCGATTTTTTAATCGGCTCCGCCTTCCGCTGTTCTCTCAACTCACCATCCCGCGTAGTCTAAATGCTTCTCACGTTTTTTTGTATCGCATTTGGACTGCGCGTGGGGTGGTGAGGTGAGAGGAACAGCGGAAGGCGAAGCCGATTAAAAAATCGACCGAAAATTGCATCGCAAGCCGAGACCTGCTCCTCTAAAGAATCTGTTCTTAAAAGGGACGATGGTTGAAACGCGCGCGCGCGCCTCCCCCCCTCCCCACACACACACACACACACGTTAATATTTCAAGGGTACATACTAATTTATACACTAAATACGTAAAAAAATGTCATGAATGTAAATATAATACGTTTTTTAATAATATATCTTACTTTTTAAGATGATTAAAAAAATGTTCGAAGTGTTCACATCATGCTTTCCACAAGCTACTGTACTGTAATATCAATGGATATTTGTAAACATTAGATAAAGAGTGCGTTCAGGAAAACGCTATTAGCACTATTTCATTCAATTAGTTCGGAAGATAGCAATGTTTTTTGTGATTTGATACCAGATGAAAATTTTTACGGTGTTAGTCTAGATAGTGAAGAAGAGGCAAGTCAAAATCGGGCTGACTGGCCACAAAACAGAATCATTTTTCGTCAAAGTCGTAAAAAATACCGATGCACATACATTATTTGACCACATTGCTTGAAACTTCTTTGGGTAGTAATTTCAATTCTAAAAAGTAGTAACAATAACAGGGTTGCCACAAGTCAGGGAAATCAGGGAAATGTCAGGGCATTTGAAAAATGCGTCAGTAAATCAGGGAAAGTCAGGGATTTCAGCGCACTTTTCGGGAAAAATAACATAGCTGTAAAGAAATTTATTTATATCACGACGCCACAATCGATAAAATCATTTCGCTTTGTTCTTCAAGCCAACTCGGTTGCTAAAAAAAGATCTTTGTTTACAAAAATTTCAAAATTGAAGACTAAGAAGGCAAAACTTTTGGCAGAAAAAACTAATGAACTAAGTGCTCTTGATGAAGAAATAACATCACTGATGTCATTAACATTCGATTAAAAAACTTGTACAATTTTTTATGTTGCAGTATTTAAGTTTTCTTTAAGGATTTGAAATTTTAGTTATGTTAAAAAGCTAACATAAACTTGTAAAGATTTAAAATGCTTTACTAAAAACATCGAAATTTTAAAGTTGTCTGTTCTTTTGTTTTATATAAGAAAGTTCTATGTCACTTATGAACAAGTGAGTAAAATAAATATTATTCTATAATTTTATGAATTTTCTTTCAAATATGTTAACTTTTATAAGCAGATTGAGATTTTAATAAACATCATAATTTTGATAAAAAAGAAACTGTATTCATTGATTTATGTTCCTTATATTTTAAGTATAGTAGTAAAAAGAAAGAGAGGAAGAGGAAAAGAATCATGTTCATACATGAAAGGAAAAGACAAAAAGTACTATTAACTTAACGATAAAATGTAGTATCAGTAACATTAATAGTATTATTTATTAATAGTATTAATAGTATTATATTATAACATTAATTTAATTACACTGTTATGTTAAATTACTCGATCAACAAAATATTTAACAATTTTCAAATCAGGATGAAAATACAAAAAATATTTCAAAATATTTATTATTGAAAGTCAGGGAAAATTACAAAATTTTGTCAGTAAAATCAGGAAAATGTCAGGAAATTTTAGGATGAAAAATTTGTGGCAACCCTGGATAATACTTATCTGGTTATGTGTCAAACGTAAAAAAATTAGATGCTCTTACGTTACAAATTTCATGCCGGCTGATCTTTTTTGGAGGTAATACACAGATCTTAAATAGTGTAAAAAATGTCGTGCTTGAACTGCCCTCAGGCATCGCAAAAATCTTCTGGCAGACAGTTGTTAGTTGCGCTTTATTTATAATGGTAAATAAACCTTTTTTCTCCATGAGTAATAAAATCTGTATTAAATATTGTATAGACTAATAATTTTTGCACTGTTACAGTCATAAAATATGTAAGAATTGTAAAAATTTACATACAATAATGTGTTAATATATGAAACAAACATTTTTTTAAATCGTCCATAACTCAAAAATTATAATATATATATATGGTATGTATTTATATGTTTTTTTTTTGCTGATTTTATTGTGTAGATTTATCCTTTGAAATATCAGTATGAATCATCCTGCACATAGTGTGTCCGTATTTAATATTGCATTGTTCAAAGCGTGTTTTAAATAAATTCACATTTTAAATAAATACGCTTAAAAAATCTTTTTACTTTTAGAAAAAAATGTTTCAAACAAAAATTGGTCTATAAGGGGAGATACGTAAAATCCATTTTTGGAAAAAAAAATTTTTTTTTTAATTATGTGCTTTATGTTTTATTCTGACATACATAGAGAGAGAGGGGGGGGAGAGGGGGGAGACAGTTTGAGCTTGGGTGGAGTTTCTAAGGCTAGAGATCCTCAAGTAAGAGATGCGCCACTGAAATCGCTACGGGATTGATTGATGACGACACCGCAAAAATATGGCGCAACCAATGGCGCAATTGTATTAACAAGTATGCACCTATGACACTATGGACACACAAGTTTGACATACACGCACATACAAGTATGACACACACATATGACACACATCTCAAAGTTGGCGTATCTCTTGAGGATCTCTATCTAAGGCCAGGTCAAAGTCACGTCAATCTTTTTAAACCCTTATTTTTTATTGCATATTTTTTTAGCTTACCTCGAGATCTTTAAAAAAAAAACGCTATAATAAAATATTCTTTCATTAAATACTGTTGTAGTTATAAAAAGCTTCAAAGTTACAGTACTGCTGGTATTAACATTATTTATGATTTCCAACTGAATGATAAAATCCTTCAAATGTTGTTCAAGATTATTGCATGTAAAAAAAGTGACAATGTTAGAAAACTATGAGAGCGATTTATAATGTATACTCTAATAATCTGAAAATACTAAAACTGGAAAATTATTCTTATTGCGAAAAATATTATTTTCAGATTATTACAATTGCGTTTCAAGACCGACGATTGTTTGGCGCGCAATTTGGGGGAACTATGTATATTAGTTAATTGTTAATTTAATTTAAGGCTCCTGAATACCGGCGACGGCCATGTTGGAATTGTGACGTCATAGGCGAGAAAAACATTAATTTTTTTTGCGTTCTATTTTTTAATAAAGACAATTTGGATAAATTTAAAAGGTGAGATCGCTCAAAAACACTTGTGAAAATTGGCGGAAACTATCCTTTCCTCCTCTGATAGTCAGTAAATGGTCGTAAAAGGCACATAAAGTGAGCCTATACTCGGGCAGAATCACACAGTTTAATAGCTGATGAAACGAGTGAAATATACGCTTTTACGTATAAAATTTCACGATAACTGCAGTTTCCGCCAATTTTTAGGACTTTCACGAGTATGAGGGAAGTTACATTTTCATAAATAAGCAAATATTGACGAAACGGCACGCAAGAAAAATTTTGTCGTCAAAACTGGTCAAAACATCACTTTTCCACGCCTATTAGTTCAGCCTTTTACCATGGCGAGGCGCTATATACACACACAAGCATGAACCCATGTCCTGTGAGCTCCCCTTCTGTCCGAAAATGAGCACACGAACATGAGCTTGCATTTGTGTGTATAACTACCAGTTTTGCTAGGCCACCGACTAATTCAGTGTCGCTACCATCAACACGGAGTTCTTGGCCGAGTATAGTGATGCGACAACTCGTTTATTTCGAGAATCGAGTAACTCGTATTCATTTTAGTAAAGAATCGAATCTGAACTCGAGTCCGCGGACTCGAGTACGGTTTTGAGTTCTCGAGCTCAAGTTTGGACTCGAGTCGAATAATTTAAATATTAGATTAGAAAAATAAACAGAAACAAATATACTTATCGATTTGTCAAAAACATTCATTAGATTTATGTTAATACAAAAAACATAAGATATACATTTTATTAATATTCTTTAGCTTCTTAAAACGAAATTATCACCAAATGAGCATACCCTTGTATTTATATCATGGCTATGATAGGCCTTCTACAATAAGCCATTACCTAAGGTTTAAGTATTAAATCATAAGAAATTGACCATTCGCAGTCGATTATTCTATTCACATTCGATTGTGAAGGCCCATGATTAGTTCACCGACGAGAGTATCGGCGAATCACTTGACTGACTTGATTCGCATTCATTCGTGGTTCGTAAATTCGGCAGTAAAGCCCATGGCACATAGAAAAACGTAAGGCCGTAAACGTAATCAGTAAGCGAATTGGCCAATCACAGTAGAGACCGTAAGGCCGGTAGCGAATCCAATACGATTTCCTTACTGATTTGTCTTACGGCTTTACGTTTTTTTATGTGTTTCTGGCTTAAATGCACATTGACGCGTCAATCAATTAATCGATTCGACTCGAGTTGATTCGATAATGTGAGTCTCAGTAAGTACTCGCACAATACTCGAAACTCGAGTTGATCACAGATCGGTTCTCGAGTTGCTCGAGTATCTTTAAGAATCGAGTTTGACGAGTCCAGGACTCGACTCGTCGCATCACTAGCCGAGATCTCAGGAGCCTTAATTCGTGATAGTACCGTGGTGATTTATATGTAAAAGATCCAAGCTAGACTGTTATAGGCTTCGTATTTGTATTAGTTATGTTCTTGCATTAACGGTCTTTAGTACTAAATATTGTTTATATGAATTTAATTAACAATACCTTAATATGATCTTGAAAAATTGACTTTAAAAAATGATTTTAACATTACTTGCTCCCTTTCAAATCCCATGCAACTTTTCTTTAAACTGTTTCTAAAATTAAAGAAAAGTTCAGAGGTGATCGTTAAAAATGGAACATCATATATATGTAACGATTTTATCTTGATATGTAATTATACAGAATTCAAATCGTTTTGTTGCAGATGCTGTATCCCAGTCGAATATAAGCATCTCTTGTATAATATGAATAAATACCATTTTGGTACAATTTTTGTTGTTTTATACTCATAAAATACCGTTGTTTTGCTCTCGCTTACTCTTACTGATATGTTGACTTCATGTGGGCATATTTGGATCTATTTTGTAAGTCTATGGTCCTTATTATGATTATGTCCTAGTTTACACGCAGCACTATGATACGCATGCTATTATAACTAGTAACTTTCTATTAAATTATTATAATTTCGGCAATGTTATTGTATTGATGAAATATCAGAGTTATTAAAGTTATCGTTTTTTTTAGTAATGCGTTACAGTTACCGTTACTTCCGGTAAAAAAGTAATACGTTACTGGTTACCGATTCTAAAAAATAATATTAGGTACTCGAATTAATTCTCGCTGTTGACCGGGAAAGGTCAGTATTTGTGCTAAACAACATGGCCGAAAGTGACTGCTATGTATATGAAAATACTATCAAAGACTTTAATAATCAGTATAGTATAACATTTGATCGGATGCAAAAAACAATTTTTTATCGCATTAAAAATGTCGGGTTTTGTACCAAAATAAAAAGAGCATTTGGAGGAAGCGTTACTTTTCTGTTTTAATCTCAAGAAATTGTTGCTGAAAGTCATCGTTTGTAAGTGGAGGCGTATGGGGAGCATGCTGTATCTGAAACAACTTGCAGAGATTGGTTTAGAAGATTTAAAAACAACGATTTTGACGTGAATGACAAAAAGTATTGTACTAGAACCATATCTTTAAAAGCTGTATAACGAGGTGAATACACAAAATTGTGTAGAAATGTAGTCTTTTTCTTCTTTGATTTTCAATTCTGTCAATCGATGTCAAGGTCCAGGCTAATACGAATATTTAAATCAATTATTATCGATACATTTTGAACTTGCACTTTGTGAACCAAATGATAAACAACATATGGGGCATTTCACGCCAAACCTCCCAGCGCGGCGCACGAGCGCCAAATCACGCTACCTTCAACTCGTGTTTACGCTATTTAAATTAATATAAAAAAAATGTTTAACATGTGTTTCTGATGTATTTTTTCCTAAGCTTTCCAACGGTATAGGTAGTTTTTTCAAAATTTTCCATTTTCACCCTTAAAAATGATAAGACATGTTATATCTCAAAAAGTATATTTTTAATATTTTTTTTTGATAGTTTAGATCGAAAGCTGACCTTTTTCTACATAGAAAAAACCATTTTCTAGAAAGTGCTTAAGTTACTTTCTATGAGAAATACAACGCAAGTAGTAGACGTAGCGCCGTTTCGGCGCGTGATATGTCGCACGGCCCGAAACGACGCACTGTTTACTTTTACATTCGCTATAGGTTGCTTATGTCGGAACCACTACCTACATATGAATTGTGACAGTTGTTGTATAAAGTAGGAAGGACTCGGCAGCGTATTTACAGCGTATTCATATAGATACTGACAGCTCACCATGTCAAATTATAAAGGCTATAGCAGAATAAGAATGGTAAAAGTGTCCTCTCCTAAAAAGTCGAGTTGACATAGACCATTCGAAAGGTAATTAAAAAATATGTCGATAGCTAAAATTTCAAGTCCCTAGACCTTTCTATAACGGTAGGAGGCCTAAAAACGTGTTTTTCTGATATTATTTTCTTCTGACGAGTCTTTACATCAGAGAGTCTTGTAAAAAATTATAGAGGTGGGGTTTTTACCTACAAATAACAACAATTTTTTGCAAGACATATAACCTCAAAATTGGGTCCGAAAAAAATTATTGAACTTTTCAATCAGTGTTTTTATATCCTGTTTTCGAAGGTACTAGATTTGAAATATGTTCTTTTACGAATTTTTTTCCGGTCTTTACGATGACACTACTTATTTAAAAAAAAAAAATGGTGGCACACCCGAATTTTAGCTAAAAACTGTTAATTTTTGCGTTTTTTGTGTTTTTCATTGGATTATATTACATTTGGATGACTCAAAATAACATTTTTTTTCGTATTTTTTTTACGCCCCATATAATGCTGAAGTCAGATATGTGACATTTTTGCTGCACACCTCACCATATGCCAAAAACGGATTTTTTTTAAGGTTACGGAACGCTTTTATCAAGTTATACAACCTAGCGGAAAGAAGGAAACAATGTTTTTAGTATTTTTTATGCTCCGACAATTTTTCAATCATATTTGTAATATTTTTAGCTGCGTGCCAACGGTATCTGCCAAAAACGGATTTATTTTGTGGTTATGTAATGTTTTTATTGAGTTATGTTACTGTTACAAGTTCAAAACGGTATGGAAAAAACGATTTTTTATTCGCTTTCCAAATTTTTATTGATAAATTAATATCACCATTCGATTCCTTTCATTTTTGTAAAAAACTTTTGTGAAAAACTATTAAAAAAGTATTAGAAGAAAAATGCGCTCTATTAGTTAAGCGCACATCAGCAAATGAAACGTGCGTGCTATGAGAATGCTTATTGATTAAGGGGATTCCAGTCGGCTCAGTCGATAAAGTAGTAATCTACGCTAAAAAACTTAAATTAAAAATGACTGAGTCGACTTTTCGAAATTCGGGCTCTGTACTAAAAATTGTAAGCAATATGTATATATGATCTCTTAAAAAATATGAAACATAGATTATTTACTTTGGAATTTTTGAAAAGGTCGTATACAGTGGTTAGAATTACTTTTGAATTGCTTTCAATTGCTTTTCAATTGCTTTCTTGAAGGTTGTAGTATATATTAATGTAAGTATCATGAAAACTTCACACTAAATAATCTGAATAACTTATCGCATGTAACTTGAAAAATTATTCGCGATATTTTTGTTACAGAAAGCGGTTGTATGTATTCCAATTCTTAAATGAATATTCTTGGTTATGACGTAAGTAGCGATAATTATTGTTAGTGTTATTATACCGCAAGTGACATAGATATATAACATCATAAAACATCTTTTTTACATCAGAATTCGTATAAGATATGGCATTTTCTAAAAAAAATTCCAAAGTAAATAATCTATGTTTCATATTTTTTAGGAGATCATATATACATATTGCTTACAATTTTTAGTACAGAGCCCGAATTTCGAAAAGTCGACTCAGTCATTTTTAATTTAAGTTTTTTAGCGTAGATTAGTACTTTATCGACTGAGCCGACTGGAATCCCCTTAATCAATAAGCATTCTCATAGCACGCACGTTTCATTTGCTGATGTGCGCTTAACTAATAGAGCGCATTTTTCTTCTAATACTTTTTTAATAGTTTTTCACAAAAGTTTTTTACAAAAATGAAAGGAATCGAATGGTGATATTAATTTATCAATAAAAATTTGGAAAGCGAATAAAAAATCGTTTTTTCCATACCGTTTTGAACTTGTAACAGTAACATAACTCAATAAAAACATTACATAACCACAAAATAAATCCGTTTTTGGCAGATACCGTTGGCACGCAGCTAAAAATATTACAAATATGATTGAAAAATTGTCGGAGCATAAAAAATACTAAAAACATTGTTTCCTTCTTTCCGCTAGGTTGTATAACTTGATAAAAGCGTTCCGTAACCTTAAAAAAAATCCGTTTTTGGCATATGGTGAGGTGTGCAGCAAAAATGTCACATATCTGACTTCAGCATTATATGGGGCGTAAAAAAAATACGAAAAAAAATGTTATTTTGAGTCATCCAAATGTAATATAATCCAATGAAAAACACAAAAAACGCAAAAATTAACAGTTTTTAGCTAAAATTCGGGTGTGCCACCATTTTTTTTTTTTAAATAAGTAGTGTCATCGTAAAGACCGGAAAAAAATTCGTAAAAGAACATATTTCAAATCTAGTACCTTCGAAAACAGGATATAAAAACACTGATTGAAAAGTTCAATAATTTTTTTCGGACCCAATTTTGAGGTTATATGTCTTGCAAAAAATTGTTGTTATTTGTAGGTAAAAACCCCACCTCTATAATTTTTTACAAGACTCTCTGATGTAAAGACTCGTCAGAAGAAAATAATATCAGAAAAACACGTTTTTAGGCCTCCTACCGTTATAGAAAGGTCTAGGGACTTGAAATTTTAGCTATCGACATATTTTTTAATTACCTTTCGAATGGTCTATGTCAACTCGACTTTTTAGGAGAGGACACTTTTACCATTCTTATTCTGCTATAGCCTTTATAATTTGACATGGTGAGCTGTCAGTATCTATATGAATACGCTGTAAATACGCTGCCGAGTCCTTCCTACTTTATACAACAACTGTCACAATTCATATGTAGGTAGTGGTTCCGACATAAGCAACCTATAGCGAATGTAAAAGTAAACAGTGCGTCGTTTCGGGCCGTGCGACATATCACGCGCCGAAACGGCGCTACGTCTACTACTTGCGTTGTATTTCTCATAGAAAGTAACTTAAGCACTTTCTAGAAAATGGTTTTTTCTATGTAGAAAAAGGTCAGCTTTCGATCTAAACTATCAAAAAAAAATATTAAAAATATACTTTTTGAGATATAACATGTCTTATCATTTTTAAGGGTGAAAATGGAAAATTTTGAAAAAACTACCTATACCGTTGGAAAGCTGAGGAAAAAATACATCAGAAACACATGTTAAACATTTTTTTTATATTAATTTAAATAGCGTAAACACGAGTTGAAGGTAGCGTGATTTGGCGCTCGTGCGCCGCGCTGGGAGGTTTGGCGTGAAATGCCCCATATTTATGATAATTATGATAATTACTTGATAGGATTTTCATAACTTTTATTTCAACTATTTATTTCATCCATCGGAAGTTTTTTAAGAATAGGCCACCATGTTCTTTTTCGAGTCATTAACAAATTGATACTTTGAAATTACAAGCAATTATTCTTCATTGTACGGTCTAGTATAAATTTCAAATCAAATCTCAATAACCGACTTTTATATTTTGTGCAGAATGACATCGCATTTATTTTCTAGAAAACTATAATCTACAAATTGTAATCTGTTTTACTTGTATGTATGTATGTTAATTTTTTTAACTTGCACCTTAAATAACATATCTCGATTACTTTTCATGGT